CTATATTTTCAAAGTTTGTATTAATTTTTCAAAGTCACCAATTGACTTTGATGGTCAAATTCTACACTGTCAAATTAGGTAGAGGCAAAATGGTTGGCAGACAGTACAATAAATGCACCTATAATCTGGGGGGAAGAAAAAGAAAAATGAGAATAAAGAAAAATGCAAGGGCAAAAGAGAAAAAATTAAATTAGATTTATCAAAATAACTAAATTAATTAACACTTATTTTTTATTTTATTTTTTTTTAGGACAAAATTGTTGTTTATGCACCGTTTCAACCTACCATATTATCAAAACTTAGATAGCCTTTTTTGACAGCAGAAGGAAAACAAAATAAATCTTAAATAAGGATGGCAATGAGTCAAGTCAAGACAAATTTTTACTCGCCTTGAACCTTACTTGACTTTATCTCCATAAAACTAAAACCTGACCTAAACCGATATGGTATAAATCATACCTAACTTGACCTAACTTGAAATTAATAAATTATTATTTTTTAAAATATAAAATACTATTTTTAAATATAAAATATTATTTTTAAAATATAAATTATTATTTTTTAATATAAATATAAAATTAAATAAATATATAAAATATAAAAATAAATAATTAAAAAATAATTTTATATATCGGGTTGGGTTTGCTTAAAACTTGACCCTGATTTTTTTTTTTTATTATTACCCAATCCGACTTGATCCAAAACTCGATTTTTAAAAAAAAAAATCCTATGGGATCGGATCAAGTCGAAGCCCATCGAGGGCAGGTTGGGCTACCAACTTTAATCATAAATCTTAATTCTCTATGCAATGAGAAATATAGAAAAAAAACATTAAAAAACCCATAAACTCATAAAAAAATGCTTGAAAGAAAGCTAAATCCAAATATCTGAACTGCAAGATCATTTAACAAAAAAAATTGATCGTCTTACTTTCTTGTCCATAAATTTATTAAAGAGAAACCTAAAGATTTGATAAAAACTAAAAACAAAAAAAAAAAAGAAAAATGGGGAAAGATAAAATTTGAAAAAGAGAGAGAAAGTAATTGGTAAAAATGATATTTTTTATTTTATAGTTGTTATATTCATCCTTAACTTTCAACTGGATGTTTTTGCGGGATGCATGCAAATTGATTAGTCTAAAAAACATTTTCAAAAATTTTCTGTCATTCCTAATTACAAATTAATCAAATTAAAATCTACATTTCTAATCCAATCTAAATTTGAATAAGGGATATGGTTAGTGACTGATAACTTCAATATCTCAGGAAAGATAAAAAAAAAAAGCATAAATTTCATAGGTGCAAATCATTAGATAAATTTCATATGGTGCAAATCATAACTCAATCTATATAAAAGGCATGTTGAAAAGTTGTTACAGTTCAAATATCTGTTACTTACTCTGCACATTCCTCGTCAACAAACATTTCAATATGAGCACTTGCAACAACCCCCGTGGTTCTTAGCACATGTCTCTGTAGAATTTGAAAGAAGAGAGAATTTTGTGAAGTTTAATTTCATTTGCAAAATGATCTGCATAAACAGTACATCACCTAATAATAAGAAATTATGTTTTAGAGTTGGAGGGAACCTTGTATGATGTCCACTTTATAGGCATTGTATTATTTTCTTTATTTCTCTCAACTCTATCACCAAAAGCATGCCAAGAGTTTAAATCAATATTTGGCTTGGAGTGATGACTCCTTATGACATCCATATTTGTATCATTGTAAACAAAAAATGGAGTGCGATGCACCCTATGAAAGAAAACCAATGGAAAAGTAAGTTAAAAATACATACTTATGATTGGACCAATTTATAGATAGATGTGCTTTATGAAAAACTCTATAGAATATGTATAATAACCATATAATGCTACATACCAAAAAATGTTGTGTAGATTTATAATTAATAACTATATGGATGTACCTATCAGACAAAGTATAACATCATTTATTCACTTTGGAAAAAAGGAATTATGACAAAAAAATGGAATTCTAGGAAGTTAATTTAGTTATAGCTACAAGAATCAATAACTGCTAAAGAAATAGAGCATTGTAGTATCTTAGTTAATCCTTGAAGGGAAAATAGATGTGACAAAAAGAGAGATACTGAAGCTCCATGAGATATTCTTATAAAAAAAATGTAAGAGCTCAAACTTAAGTAAAAAATTGTTCTTTGTTTACTGATCTGGCTTCAACTTATTTCTGCCAATATCAAAAGCCTTGTTGGCCTACCTTTCTGCAATGATAGGAATTTACTTGTTATAAAGCTTAAAAAAAACACCATGCACACAAAAAATCCAAACACAAAAACATCATGCATATACATAGACAAAAACATCAAAACATTAATAGAAACTTGTTGACCAAACATACCACCCATAAAACAAAGCAAAAAAAACAAGAAATCAAACATAAGAATAAAAGAAAAAACTCACATGAACAAAGAAAACAAACAAAATAACAAAAAATTTGAAACCATTAAAAAAAAAAGAAAACCCTAACTTTCACATGGTGAAGTTTGGCAGCAAAGCCTTTTTTCTAGCTTTCTTTTTTTTCTTCATCAATGACTTAGCTTACCGCCAGCCTTTCTTTTGTATCTTTTTTTTCCTTTCTTTTTCTCATTCATTTTTCATAAGCACAAAATTGAAAATCCAAGCAAAATTATTCCACCAATCAAAAATTAAATCCGCATTAATAACTATAATAAAATCCTCACCTTTGCTTGTCCCTCTTCTTATTAGTCTTCCACTAGCAACCATCAATCACGACCACTTCCTACAACAAAAATATACCATAGTAGCCGCAAGAACTTTCTTTTCCACTCTCTCCTTCTAGAAAATTTTAGGACTTAGTTTGTGAAATGGTGAAAACGTGAAAATTAAAGCAAAACCTGTCAATGCCCAAATTTATCTTCAAATTGTTTTTAATGGCATTCTTTACGTGGCCAATAATTTAGAGTTAAAGGGATGAGGGGATTGATTTAATATATTTTATAGATAAAAGTAATTATTCAAATAATATTTTTGGTTAAATGATGGTCTAATTGAACGAGACCCTTCATTTTTTTTTATTTTCCTTTTAAAAGAAAATAGCAAAAAAATAAAAATCTCTAACAAAAAAAAGAAAATATTTTTTTATAACACCTCTTAAAGCATATCAATTTTCTTATTGTTTACTTAATTAAATTGAATAATAAATTAGTTCCAAAAAAAATCTTAAAACGAAAATTTTAAAAATATTTTAATTGAAAATATTTTATATTTTCACACATAAATAAAGAAATAAGTATAATTAAATTCAAATAATTAATATTATTTTAAGATTAAAAAAATTATGATCCCGAGTGTATTTGGGTAAATTTTTTAATATATACTATCTCTAGATTATAAGAAATCTCTGCAATTACTCTAAGCCCCAATATCAAATAAGTTAGCAATAAAGTCTCAAATAATTAGTAAAAGTTTTGAAATTTCAAATGTAACTACAAATCCACAATAATACTTCTGGCACTCAGGCATCCATGTGCCTGCATGTGGGATTCTTCTTAGGAGTTTAGTCATATAAAGTAAAATTTTGATGTGACGAAAGGGTTCTTACCATGCAGTGAAATCAGACAAAAATTTTGATTATAAAATGTAAATTTTGACGCTGAAAGCTTTCATTTCTAACTATGCATTCAAACCAAATAAAAAATTGAGTTATAAAATATTCCTTTTATCGCATTTTTTTAGTTAATTTTTCTAAGATGTCCTAAATTATGTCTTATTTTATTTTTTTAATATCTAAAATTTTTATTTTTATATTTTTATATTTTTTGACATTAAAAATCATAAAATTTTAATTTTAATATTAATTTTCTTAAATTTCATAAAAATTAGTACATAACAAATATTTTGAGATGAAAGAACTATAAATTTTGAGGTGAAAAGCTTTCACCATGCATCCATATTAGACCTTAATGACAAATACTTTATTTGCCATACATGGTCAAATTATTTTTTACAAAATACAAAAACCGTTAGATATGTTTAATTGATTGTTGAACAACAAGTTCTTTAAAAATTATTAAAATGAAATACTATATATAATATATAAGAAGACAAAACGCTTGCAAGGGAGGAATTCAAATGCTAGTTTTTGGGAGGTTCAAGAAAAGAAAAAAACACCTAATCAGTAAGGAATTAAAAATTCCACATTTCCTCATTCCAAAAAAAAAAAAATGGAATTCCACATTTTTTTTTTTTGTTGAACCCAGCAATCATCTCCGCCTTGGTGCAATTGTCATTACTGTTCTTTCGTGTGTACTTTCCATCTTGAAGGATTTTTTCTTTTTTTATTCGAGCATTTTCCAAGAAATGAGCAACCATTGCGACGCGGATCCGTTGTCTGTTCTGTTGCCTGTGCACTTCTTAGAATAAAATACTCTCCCACCAATTTTTTAAATTCATTGTCTTTTCAAGGTTAAGCATGTGATGTGTAAAAGTTTTTAAAGAGGTGCAAGCAGTTTATTTTTTCCTTTCATACCCTTTTTTTTTTTTATTTTTTTAAGTAAAATTATTTAATTATTTTTATAAGTTTTTAAATTTTATAATTTTTTAAAAATAAATTTTCAAAAAATCATAATTTTTCAAAAATAAAATTTCGAAAACTTATAAATTTTTGATAAATTATAAATTTTTTTAGAAATGAATTTTTAGAAAGATTTATAACTTTTCATTTTCAAAAAGATTTATGATTTTTAAAAATTTATTTTTGAAAAATTATATGATTTTTTGAAAATTTATTTCCAAAAAAGTTTATAAATTTTTGAAAATTCATTTTTAAAAATTTATATAAAAAAAGATAATTAAGTAATTTTATTTATAAAAAATTTAAAAAAAACTAAGATGTGAAAAGAAAAAGCTCAAATTTATTTTATTAGTTCATACAGATATTAACATTTAATAAATTTAAAATTTGAAGCTTAATACTTGAAAGGATAAGACAGCTGGTGCCATCTTTAAGTTTATCCGGGGCTTAAAGTTAAAATGGAATATGGAATTATTAAAATCCTGCAAATTTTGTTAACCCGGAGAAGACCACATCAAATTCCAACCTAATCACAGCTTCTACATTCTTAATTCAGCTGTGTTTTTTATTTGCATATAACTGTGTTATCACAAGCCTTCCTAAACTTCCTTCAACTTCAACTTGCTTCTCAAAAAAGGGTTCGTGTTTGCAATTTCTTTTTCTTTTTGACATTTTCCAAAACTTCTGAAACATCATAGTCTACCCTTGAGGAAGCTAGTGCACAGTTTCTTCCATGCATCCTTGTCAGGCTCCACTTTCCCCAGGTTTGCCTTCAACTCAGCAGCATACGATTCCTGCATTTGATATAAAACGTGTCAAACCGTTAAACCAATAGTAAGACTTATACAAGGAGCTTGGAATTAATTAGATGTTGGATGTACCGCAATAAAACTGCACTGCATGAGACGGTTGATCAGATGAAGCAGAAGGTCTTTGTTGTACTCAGGGTGGCCTTGGATGCCCATCATATGATCCCCATATATGAACATCTCAACCCCAGTCTTCTCTGACCATGCAATCAACTCTGCTTTTGGTGGAAGTTCTTGAACCTGGCATGTTAAAACAAGTTTAAAACAACACATATGAAAAGAATTATCAATTTCTTCTTCTTATGGTTTGGTTACTAAGTTACCAGGTTCATTTTCGAAATAGACCAACCTCATCTTGGTGGCACTCGATCAAAGAGAGAGTGGTTGGGATTTTCAGAGATGAGAAGAGCTTCGATGAAGATGATGACAAATGAATGGTTGTCAATCCAATGTTCCAACCTGAGATGGCACGCCCTGTCTTTCCTCCCAGTGCACGACTAAGAATCTGATCAAATAACAAAAAAAAAAATATTGTTGCATAAGCAAAGACTTAATTTTAGCCTTTTTTTATCTTTGAAAAAAAAAAAAAGAAATTCAATAAAGTCTTCTTCTTTCCATGACACAACATCGGAAACAACCTCTTATAGTCACTTCCTGTAGATACGTACACACACACACATATATATATATATATATATATACATGATTTTCACATGTAAAATTACATAAATGGCTAGGAACCTAATACTACTAGACCTCTCACATCTAAGTACCTGTACTAGCTGGGGAACCATTGAGTAATGCGTAAACAAAGTTTATCAAACACTTGGATAGCTCCCGCTTTCTATCTATGTCTGCCATCAAAATTGACAAAAAAAAAAAAGGAAAAAGTAAAAAAGAAAACTCTATTTCATTTTTAACCCTAATTTCGACTTAACTCATTTCCAATTAAGATTTTCTACAAGTACAAATTTTAATTTTAATGCATTAAAAGAATCCCATCAGCTTTTTACTAGTTTTTTTCTCTCTCATGTTTTACATTTTTTTATCTCACCATTTCATCAATCCTCACAATTTACGTATTCATGTGTTATCCATCGAGTATGTGTAAAATATTAAAATTTTAATATTTTATATTGATATATTAACTATGAAATATATTATTTTATTTTTATCAAAAATATATGTAATTTTTACAAAAAATTTTAACCCATGTCAAATTCAATTTAATTTATAGTTTTATATAGTATTTAAAATTAACAAGTTTAATTTAAAATTAACAAGTTTAATACCATTTAAGATTTTGGTTGGAAACTTCTAGCTAAATCATAGTAATAAAAAACTTGAGAACGACTTTTTGATTTTTTTTTCATTTAAAAAAAATCCAAATACATCCCTCTCATTTAGAAAATCACAAAGGAAATTAATATTAAAATGTTAAAAAAGAAAGTTAACAAGAACCAAGTGCTAGTAGTGGAAGTAAAAAAAAAAAAAGAAAATTTTACCTGGTGACCAAAGCAAATCCCAAGAACTTTTTTCTTCAAAGAATCCAATTTGTTCAAAAGAGCAATCAACCTACAGATCCAAGCATCATCGCCATGTGCATCACTGCAACTCCCACTAATAACAAAGCCATCAAAGTCGCTAATCTCTTCATCATCAGGAAACTCACCATTGGCCACCTTGAAAACATCCCAAGTCTCTCCTTCCTCGGCCAGCATTCCCGCAAATACCCCATGATACCCTCCATACATCTTTTTAACATAATCAGAATCATCCGCACACAGAAGCAAAGCAAATCTCTTCCCACCACCCATGGTTAAAAATATCTTCCTCTCTCTCTCTCTCTCTGTGAAGGCTAAAGCTAGACCCTTTTGAGAGGGAAATAATCAAATCTTTCTCTCTCTAAAATCTGCAGTGTGGGTTATTACAGAGTGGGTTAGTAAAGCTGTAGGAATGCAAAGATGTTTGGACTTACTATATAGGTATACGGAAGACTTGTTTGGTAGCCTAAATTACAGCAATGGCCTTAACTGAGGTGGCTTGCCTAATTTGCCCTTTGTCCTGGGCTATATTCATTTACTTCTTCATTATTACTGGGCCTAGCCATATTATGTAGTTCTTAGCCGTTTGCGTGCCTACGTTGAGGCCACAACTTTTTTTATCCATTTTAAATCATTTTTCAACTGTTTTATTAAAATATTTTTCATTTAATTTTAATTATTTTAACAAAAATGGTGCCTGTTTTTAATTAAAAATTAATCATCTATGGAGGTAAAATTATACATAATAAAAGGAAATAGAGTTCATTTCTTTTTTTTTTCCTCATCCCTTTCCCTTTATTAATTTTTAAAACCATTATTATGTGTCCCACATGATTAAAAGTAATACATCTGGGCATGGAAGGTATAATCACACAGCTTATTCTTTTTCGTAATAATAGAAACTATTTTATTAATGGGATAATTGAATTTCCTTTTCTTTACTTTCTATATATTTTATATGTATTATAGTGAAAAAAAGGTATTTATATAATCAAATCTGACTTCATTCATATCTACCATAAAAGAGAAAATGGTGGTCCAAACAGGAAAAAGGAATAATAAAGATCTTACGTAAGTCACCCACGTTTTTTTCCTTCTTCTTGTGCATGTCAAAGAAAGAACGAAATTGATTTGAGAGTAAAGTTTTCTGAACAGTCCTAGTAAATTAAGGATTTATTGGATAGCTATTTGAAAGAGATTTGATTGTATAATGTTATTTTATAATTAAATTTTTAAAAATTATAAAATATAATTGTAGTAAAAGTTTTTTCTATCACGTTATCAAATGAATTTCAAGTCATTGTCAAATGTATATATAAATCTGTAATTCAATATCTTTGGAAACAATATTATAAAAATGCAGTGAAGTATCTAAGAAAAGATATTTAAATCAAGAAAAAATAAAAGACATTATCATGGCAACATACCAAACTAGTCTAAACAATAACCATACATGTTGATTATTAAGGAAAAAAAAAGATAGTGCATATGTTTTTTTAATGTTTATTTTAATTTAATAAAAAGGTTTTGTCAATAAACATATTGGGAATATATATATATATATATATATATATATATAAATAGAGAAGCTAATCAAATGCTTATTGCTTAACAAATATTATTGATATTAACCTAATTAAAAAATAAATTACTAGGAAAGGAAATTTATATTTGCATGGGAACGTATATATAGATCTATAGTATACAGTTTTATTTGCAAGAAAATAAAGGGTTATAATTTTGAATATTTTTGCTAATTTTTTTATAGTTTTTTAATATAAAGAAAGTTAAAATCTAAAAAATTGAAAAATAAATATAATTGTTGAAAAATAAATATGAATTTTACAAAAATTCATCTTTTAAAAAGTGAAAGAATTATTTGAATTAAAACTAAATTAAATTTTCTTGTAATTTTGATATAAGCAATAAGATACGGATATAAAGGATGCATAACCATTTGCTTAATGTGCTAAAGTTATGTTTGGTACATAAAATAATGAATAGGAGAAGATGATAATCATCTTCTATTATATTATATCTATATTTTAGAAAAATGGATAAGATTATAAAAAAATTAATCATCTTATTAGTATAAGATGATTCAATCATTTCAAAATGAAGATAATTATTTTTAATCATGGATGTGAACTTACATGTTTTATTATACCTTTAAAAATTATATCAATAATTTAAATTATATAAACTTTGAAAAAGAATAATTATGATCAATAAATAAATTATTTTAATTTTAATCTTTGCACGTATCAAATATAAGATAAAATGATATTATTTAATTTTATTTTATTTATAATATTATTTTATCTTATCCTATTATAATTTTGTATATTAAATACATCCTAAAATAATTGTATAAATAAATTGAATTAAACTTTAAAATTTTCTTTGATATCAATTTAATAAATTTGGATGATTCTTAAAAATGAAAGACCAAACTTGCACTCTACGTTTCCAACAAATTGTTTTTTATGGTCTCATCTCTCATGTCACTATGACCCACAAAGCAACTTTATGTGATTAGTTATATATGTATGAGCACATACATTCCATAGTTTTTCTCAGAAATAATTTTAATTAAAGATAGCAATAAAAAGAATATGATCAATGAATTTAACTATTTATTGAAAATTTAGAAGCATAAAATGTAATTACAATATAGTTACAATGCGATGAAAATATTTTTCATCTTAAAAAATCTTTAATAGAATTTTTTTTTTCTCACAACTTTTCATAATCAATGATCCTTCACAATACGATGAGTGCACTAAAGGCATTATCGTCGGTTTCCAATCCAAGTTAATACGACATCTATTATTTGTCCTAATATCTTTTGGTTTGTTCGAGCTTTGCAAAAGAACATGGAGACTACGGTTAAGGAATCTTATGTTTTATTTGAATAAATGGTGAAAAAAAACTTCCATCTTGAAACGTCTTTTTAATTAAGAGCGCAAACAATTTGATTTGGATCGTATTCAGTTTGTTTTTTAAATATTACATAATATTATGAAAATTTAAAATTCAATTTGAATCTGAACCAAAACTTCATTAAATTTGAATCGAACCGAATTGAATTTTACTAGTTTAATTTAGTTCGATTTATCAGTTTTTAATTTTTATATAATATTTTAATATAAAATTTTAATATATTTAAATAGATTTTGATATAAAATTATTATTTTTATTTTATAAAAATTTAAAATATATACAAAAACTAAGAAAAATATATTATTTGGCTCGATTCAATTTTTTTTTATTTTTCATTTTTAATCTGAAATCTGATCTGAATCGAATACTATGATTTCGAATTAGTTTTTTAATTTTTGAATTTTTCCTCACCCCTACTTTTTACTATAAACACCCATTTTGTATTTTTATTATTATTATTATTATTATTATTAATTTTTTTCTTTTCTTTTTTTTTCTTTTCTTTTTTTTTCTTTTTTGATATTTTTTTTGCCCTGACTTTACATTGCCAACTACCAACAACTACCCTAACAACTGCACTTCTAGTTGCTAGTAACTACTCTAACAGTCGGCCTAATTTTACGCAACTAAAGTTCAACAAAATCTTCGATTTTTTGGGATTTTGATATTCATTCTAGCTCTATAAATAATGCCATGAAAGATAGAAACAAGAACATAGAGAAAATTCATAAAAAGGAAAAAAAATAATCCAAGAAAAACCTTGTAAAAAAAGGAAACAACCAAAAAAAAAACTTTGTTAAAACCCAAGAAAACCAAAAAAAAAAAAAACACAAACGCTGGAAGCATAGATCTCAGCACCAAGAAATTTTAAAAAAATCAATTTTGACCTAAACTTTGGGCCTCGATCTATGCCATTTAAGGTCGTTTCTCGCTAAACGAAAGCTAGATTTGAGTACATGGGGTTGGAAATAATTTTTTAGGTATTTTTTAAAGAATTTTTGGCATACCTAACGATGAATGGTGATTACACCAACAACTGGCATTAGCAGTGACGATGACAGAAACCCGTCGGGTATTGGGCTTTTTAGAGGGAGAGAGATAGCATCCAAGAGAAAAAGGAAGAAAGAAGAAATTTAAATAAAAATTTTTTTGGTTTTTGTAGTGCTGTAAAAAAAAAAAAGCAAAACGACACTATTTAAGAAGGAAAATCCTCGTGAACCCACGATCGGGATCCGAAATTCGTGCAACTCAACTTGTGACCCTTATCAGTTTCAACTATTGACCAATTCAGTTAAATTGGTTGACCAAGCCACTAAACTAGTTCACTAAGCCACTGAACTATTGTTTTGACCAATGGTTGATTAGGGGCATTTTAGGTATTTTTACCATAACTTTTTATTTTTTATTCCTTTTTTGCTCAATTTTTTATATATTTTTGTTATTTAATTATGATTATTTTTATTTTTATTTTCATATATAATTTTGATAATAAATAAATGGTAGAAAGAATAAATTTTTTTTATTAAATTAATTTAAACTAATTGCTAAAGAAATAAATTTAGGAAAATTCAAAATCTTAATTTTCTCTTAAATAATTTTGAAATAATGAAAATTAAAATTTTAATGAACAAGTAGAAAGAAAATATATAATGAAAAAAAAAGCAATAATAAAAAATAAACAGAATAAGATAAATTAAAAAAATAAAATTACAAGTGGTGATTTTATTAAAAATATTTACACAAAATAATTATCTAAAATATTCTAAAAGTGTTAGAAATATTTTAGAATCTTTCAAGCAAAAAATAATAATAATAAATTAAAAAATTATTAATAAAAATGAAATCATAAGTGGTGATTTCTTTTTCATACAAAGAAAATTTTTAAAGTATTTCAAAAGTGTTAAAAATATTTTAAAACTTTTCATAAAATAATAACACTAATATTTATTTCAAGTAAATAGCAAGAATTAAATAAATAACAAAATTAATAACAACAATAGTAATAAAATCACAAGTGGTGATTCTAAAAAAGGTATATTTTCAAAATTTTGCCAAAAGTGTTAGTAAGATTTTTGAAAATCTTTTTGACAAAAATTAATAAAATATAAAATACTTAATTTGTCAAAATAAAAAAAATTTACAAAAATAAAAGTCATGAGTGGTGACTTTATCAAAATTTTTTAAACAAAAGATTTTCTCAAAATAGTCCAAAAGTGTCAAAAATATTTTAAGAATTTAACCCATAAAATTTTTACTTCAATAATAAAATAAATAATAAATAAACGTTTCAAAGTAAATCAAAATTTTCATCAATAATAAAATTAAAAGATAATTACAAGTGATGATTTTCTTTCAAATTTTTAAAATCATACCAAAAGTGTTGGTATAAGAAAATTATAATTTATTTTTTAAAAAATATATATTAAAAAAATCTGACGACGGAGC